AATTGATTATAACAATCAATCTCTCTTTTCTTATAAAGTCGATCCAACAAATCAACCCTTTGTGTATCTCGGTTAGTAGAGGGTTCTCTGTCTATATAATTTAGGTATTCTTCTAAGACTGATAGCACAATATATATTGAAGAAATTGCAGCAACGACAATAGATGCTAGTATGGGATGCCTTTCCCTTTCCATCTAAGTTGGAAAATTACAAAGTATGAGAAAATTTAATAGTAGATAGAGAAGAGAAGATGATAAAGAGATGAAGCTTATTTCTTTCTTCTAGTTGCATTCAGCCTTCATTATCCTCTAATCTAATTAATTAAATGTCTGAAAAATTTACCAAATTTTGTTAATTTAATCTCCTACAAAGTTCAGTGGAAACCTATCAATTCTCAAAAAAAAAGAGGATCCTAGTGAAACTTGTATATAACATGCAATTCTGTACACATCAACCACCTAGTTATTGTAGCAAAATTCAGCCCTAAAACCTAATCATTGTGGTCTTGCTCCTTACTACAAATGGCAGCTTATTTGTAGCCCAAACACACCTAGTTTAGCCTTCTTTTATTCTATGGATACCAACTCAGACCAGGCTAGAACTTCCCCTCTTTGGCCACCTTTTTTTTTTTTTTTTTAAGAATCCTGCCCTAAAACTAACTACTAACCTATTCTATTTGCAATATAATCCTAGCCTTATTTTTGATTCAATGCACTATCAACCAATGTCATAGAAGAAAGAAGTAATAAGAGCTTCTAATAAAAATGCTCTTACATTTACTAACATTTGACTAAATATCTTAATACATATCCAAGGTGGGGAGGATGGTCAAAAAATTCAAGAAATATGCTCTAACTATATTCTAGTAACTAAGAACTTTATCATTTCTTTTTATCAATAACAGAAACCTAGATTAATAATAAAAAGGATTACAAATAGCACTTCAAGGAGAGAGAAAATTGAGAGCTTTATCATTTTGAAACAACAAACTAACATAAAACAAATTCACAGATCAGGTCATTGAACTTTTTCTGATACATACATCTTGAGATAAAAAAACGAATTGACATCGAATAACTATTGCCAAGACCACTTATTAAATACAAAAATAAAAAGAAACAATAAAATAAGATAGTGTTGCGAAATATAGAGGGAGAAAAGAAGAAGATTTTCTTTATTGATGATCAAAACATATTGAGCATACACCTTAAATAAGAGAAGATAGGAAAGACGAACCCCTAGAATTTCTCTCAATCAGGGATTGACTAAATCTTTCCCTTAATCCTAGGATATGACTTTCCTAAATTTATTCAAATCTCTTAATCAATCAAATCATATCTTTCTTAATTTGCCGACAGATAGAAAGGAAAAGGACATACATTTGTGAACCCATATTGATAGGTTTAGTTTTATCAGACATGTTAATCACCCAAGCAGCCCATATGAGAATCCAGCAGTAGTATCTTGATGACATCCATCATCTTCCATCCAAAAGAGATGACGCACAAATATAATTTTTGAATGAAAGTTGAGTATTAAGATTTGAACAGTGACAAAGTTTCATTTAACGTAGCTATATGAATTGACTAGCAAGGTGTCCTTGAAAAAAAAAGAACTAGCAAGGTGTCTATAGTCACAAACAACAGTGATAAACAAAATGAACACAAAGTTTTAGAGATCAAATAGAAAAATCCAAGTTCTAACTAGCCGGGATCTTAGAAATCAAATAGAAAAATCCCTAAAAATGTTTTGGAGTTGCTAATGGAAATGAAAACAACCAAAAAGTTTTAGAGTTCCAACAGCCTTCCTCTTCACTGCGTACGTCCCACAAAACTCCCAGAAATATTTCCAAAGACTAGCACCACAACACAGTGGCCAACTGTAGCAGACCGAAAGATGCACAAACTCTAGACAGAAGCAAAACTGCGGATGGGTGCCATACTAGAATCTCAGAGAACCCCTATGCCCCAACAAATCTCATGAAATGAGATGGCTAAAGCAGAGACTTATTCAGAAAAGAAGGAAAATATGAACACAGGTTAGACTAAGAACACAGGTAAAAGAAAATTTAAGAAAGTCTTGCCTACACAAGGAGAATGGAGTTTCTCCTTGCCAGAAGTAGTGAAGAAGATGAAAGGGGGGCCGTTCATTGCAGAGACTGCTGCAACAATGGTAAAGTCATTCTTCAGCATCAAAATATACAAAAAAGGTGGAAATGGCTCGCCAACGCAAGAGGATTGCAGATCTTGTCTTTCCTTTGCTCGAGATTACCAAAGAAGTCGTTGGAGATACGACTGTTGGGATACTTGGCTGAAGGAAGAAGAGATTCTCAAGTTCAGTCCTGACAAAGCCCGAACTTTTCTTAGACGCGTCTCACTTTTTTCCTTTCTCACCGGGGTCGTGCTATTTTGGTGGGATCCCATTCACTTGTTTTTGGGATCCCACGCCTCATTCTTTTCTCATCCCAAACCACTGTATCCCAACAATCAAACATGGGAAAAAGGTATCATTTAGGAATATTCCTCTTATCTCATCCCTTTCCCGCAATCCAAACGGAGCCTTAAGTTCTCAACCAGGATTAGTGAGTTTTTTTTTTTTTTGAAACAGGTAAAGTATAATATTCATTAATAGGCAAAAAACATGTACAACAAGGAGCTGTACACAGGGATTTACAAAGAATTGCCCAAGTAGATCTATACCCCTAAACCCTGATTTACAAAAAGATTCCCAACAGAAAAAAAGGAGCTAAAGTTTCTGTCCTTAAACACACTGTTTACTGCTAACCAAGAGAACAATTTCCCCAAAATTTTCTGAAAACTGCGTCTGTGTAGCTGTGCTTATTCTTGAAAATCCTTGCAATCCTCTCCTGCCATATGCACCAAAAAACTGCAGCAGGAGTCAGGTTCCACACCAACTTTCCCTCTTTTGTGAGGCCCTTGATTCTCCAACTCTTCACAAAATCTGCTACCGATTCAGGGCAGCAACTTTTTAAATTCGTAGGTTAATTAAAAAGTGCAATGGGACTATCAATATACATGGTTGTCAGTAAGCAGTGGGGATTAACAAAACCATAGCATCCTTAAAAACTATTTATCATGAGTGCAGCATAATTGACTCTTTTCTCTTTCATTAGAGAATCGTAGCTCTAAACAGTTTGACAATGGAGAAATGAATCTAATATCTGAAAATGTATTCTTAACAAGGGTTATTATCATAATACATTTAGTTTTCTTTTTCTTTTGTTAATGAAGTGCGATTGTTAATGTGGGGTTATTATTCTGTTTTATATACTAAAAATGAGAAAGACTCAAAAACTAACTTGAATATTTTCTTTGCAGCAAAAAACTCAGAATATTTTGTTTTGTTTTGTTTTGTTTTTTTTTTTAATTTTCTTCTTCCTTTTCTGTTGATGAGAAAGATTAACTGTTAACAGGAGACCCTTGGTTTCCTTAGTTTTCTCTTTTTTTCCTCCAATGCCAAACCCATAAATATTACTTCAAATTTTCTATCCTCTAGGGCTTTTGAAAAAAAAGACTTCTATCCTCTATTTTTCCTTTTATTTTCCTATATTTTCTGAAATTGTGATTTTTTATGGCTGCTGCAATGCTGCATTTTAGTTATTTTTTCTGTTTTCTTCAGTTTGTCTGTATTTATTTCTATTTTCATTTCTTACATTTTATAATTATTTCTATCAGTTGACAAGTTAACTTGGCCAGATTGCAAATTAACTTGAGTAGTGTTTTACCAGTTATCTTTTCTCTTTAATAAAATTTCTAGCTATTTATTGATAAAATTTCATCAGGATCATTCCTCCAAAGAAAAGGAAGGAAGGTGATGGAATGGAAGCCCCAGCAGATGGGAGCTTTATGGGAACCCAGGGAATGGAAGGTATTGGTGGTGTGTTAGAAATTCTTCAAGCAAAGTGATGGCTATGTACTTGGGACCTATAGGGGTAGGGGATTCACTAAAGGCTGAACTGATGGCACTTACAGGGCCTAAAAGGCTAAAACTTGCTAAGCAATCCAATTTCAAAGACTTGGATGTTGAAGGGGATTCAAAACTGGTTGTATCATAGACTACCATTAGGTGTAATGTACCCTGGATTTATAGACATGCTCTAAGGAAGCAGAAAACCTGACAAGGGACCTAAATGCCACTTTTACATGGGCAAGAAGGACTGCAAATGGGATGGCTGACGCATTAAACAGGGGGTCTATAGGCAGCAGCTGTTTTGGGTTTTATTGTAATTCTATTGGTGGGTTTTGCTTTTCTGACTTCTACCTTTTGGGTGATTGGACACTCGATCTTTTGTAACTTGCTTTTTAACATATTAATATAATTAATCTTTTCTTGCTGATCGAAAAAAAGAAACATCATCAGGGGTCAGGATCATGAAAGTATAGAGGCCATGATACCTGGGGTACCTTTACAAGGGTGCCATATCACGTTGCGTACTTTACTTTTTACTTCAGTGTAAATTCCATATCCAGCACTTTGTCCAGCTGTGCCCTTAACATATCTAGGTAACTTCATATATAAACCATTTATAGAGGAGAAAAACTAAAAACAAGAAAAGAAGCATCCAACAAAAGCCATAGTCTCTCCTAAAAAAAGGTGATGAAAAGAAAGACAAGTAGAAGACTCAAGTCCAGTTCCCTTAAATATTTTAAAAAATACATTATTACCAAATGCAAGGAATTACCATGTTTTTACCTGATAGTCCTCCAAGATGTGGCAGTTACTTGATATGAAAGACTTGAAATCTTCTTTTTCTCTTCTTATTTTATGAAGACAGTTGAAATGTTTTATGCCATAGATGGAATATAATATGATTCTATTTATTGTCTCTATGCCCTTTTTTCTCTCTATTCTTTTCCCAATTTTTGGCTTTATAGGAGCTGTTATTTATGCTAGACGTACTCATCCTGTTGGCATCATATTTTGCTTTTTTGTTTATTTTGCTCCGCACTTTTGTTTTACTCCATCCTCTTATTCTTAAGGTTCTAAAAGTAGAGCTTGGGAAGAAGGAATGGAAATACTATGTTCACTATCTTGTAAGTATAGCCTTCTACCTCATGTGTTAATTTTCCTTTATTTAATTTTTTTTTTCTGGGTCCATCTGTCTCTTTGAGGGGTACTTTGTTCACTATTTTTTCAATATCAACTTCCTCTGTCGTCATTCTTTCTCCTTGTCCATTTTTTTCAGGTATTCCCTAGACATATTTAGTTACAGAATGCTTTTCAATCACTGATGCCATTTGTATTTTAGATCCATTGTTTTTTCTTATCAAAGTTACTCTGACGGTGTTCAACATGTTAGGTTTTGTTTCTCAAAATGCAAACAACTTATACATTATCAGAATCACATTTAATTTGGCTATAGGAGCTAGTTTGTTTTGAGAAACAAAATCATACCTATTGGTGAATACCCTCCAAGTGTGTAACATAACAGAATGTTTTCTGATTTTACTTTTTTTATGGCATTCTTCTGTTTTGCAGGGCTGGAGCAAAAAGTGAGTATAGCTTCTGATCTATGTATGATTTATTTTATGGAAGTTTCTAAATTCGATTTTAATTTGTTGAAAAAGGTCAAGTTAGTCTTATTACTTCTGCATCTTACATTTTGCATTGAAAATTCTTATGTTTGAGTGTGGCCATTTTTTTGATCAAATGAAATGTTATTAAAACAGCAATAAAAGGAAGATGCAAGAAAAATGCTGACATTTCTAGAACCCCAAAGGGCCAAAAATGTAAACCAATAAATGTTACAATACAACATGACATCAACTACCTTGAATGTTTATCCACTGTGCAGTCTACTCTTGTGGACAACACGTAGCTAGATCATTTGTCAACATATATCTTCTTTTTTGGATTGATAACAATCAAGATTTATTAATTATGAGAAAAGAATTTGTAGAAAGTGTGTGAATATAGGGAATGCGCCTAGCACGGTAGCGCCCTTTTTAATCCTAGGTTGACACCTATCTCTTAGGGTCTAATCCAATCTCTTACAAGTTAAAACATTTCTGATCCAAGGCGACATGTTTCCCCAATGCAAATGATCCACCAAAATGAGATGTTCACTTTGGTAGTCAAAGTATTCATGGCTCTAATGTGGTATAATAGAATCCATGGCCCATCCCTGCCATTATGCATCATGTGAATGGCAACTTGACGATTGTCTCACTTTTCTGCCTTCTTTTTTAAATAAACCTTGTTTGTTAACTAGGTGTCAGTAATTTATAAATGTAGGAGAAGTGGAGAACAAAGGCAATCATTAGGGATCATTCCTAGTGATTTTGCTAACTAGGCTCATCGTCTTTGGCATTGTCATTGTTGTTGTTATTCTCATTGTTGATACTTTTGTCATCATTATCCAAGCTTTTTATTGTTATTATTATTTGGATCTGTAACTGATTAGAGACTTTTGTTAGGGCAAAAAACAGTAGAAAAATGATGTACTAAAAGAAATATTAGGGCATATTGAACCCTCTTCAAAGTAGTAAGTAAAAAAGCTAGTCCTTTCTATTCTTCCCCAGCTAGCTTGCCACCAAACTTAAGCAATGACTAACCTGGTGGTTTGAGTATGATGCAATTCCTGTCTATGAACATCCATCCCCTTTTGCAATTGGATCCATGAGAGCATCGGCTGATCATGGCACTCAACTGAGGAGTTTGTTGAGAGAAATATTGTATTTGGGTATATTTGTAATATTGATAAATTATGGGGACCTATATGCATTCATGAGAGAAAAAGGGGCTTCTATGTAATTTTGATATATTTCAGTCTGTTGCTTATTTATGCTAGTGGTTGTGTGAGATTAGGGTTTGAGGAAGAGTGAGAGAGAGAGTAGTGGCTAAGGTATTCCCTCATGGAGCGATTGAACTGCATAATGGTAAGGGAAACACATTCAAGATAAATGGGCAGTGTTTAAAGCATTATATTAAAGGAGAGCAACCCATCCACCATGGGTCCATTCTCTCCTTGAAACAACTATGAAAGAAAAGAGAAAGTCAAGCTCATGACTTAAAAGGAGC